CTGCGGATCTGAAACGTGGAAATTATAAAACATGATTATATAAACAAATTATATGAGTAATAATTATATAATTGATTCTATGAATGATGATGATTATATTATGATTATACGAATGATTATATAAAACATTTCGTTTCATTTACGAAACCTACGACCGCAAATCTAAACACTAAAAGGTTTGAGTGTTCGTATATGCGACTGAAATCAAACGGATTCAAAGAATGTGCAGGTAAAATGATAACTTTCCTGATAAAGTCGGCAAATAACACCAAAAATATCTAACTGAAATCAAAATAAACATACCCATTTTTGAGCATCTTCGTCACAAAAAATCTCGCATATTTTGATTTGCTCATTCGTACAATTTCTGGGCATAATTCATCGAACAGCAACGATCGAATAGTGCCTTTTGGAAGACTCGTCAGGCACTCTATCACTCGGCACGTATCGTGGGCATAGATCAGTTCCTTGGCTTTACCTTTCACCAATCCATACAGCTCATGAACGTACTTCTCACGATCTGCCTCTTGACATTTCGCACTGTAACAAAACAACAATTACTAACTAGTGATATGAAATCATCAAGTCTTCATCTCACTAGTCAATAATCATACCAATAATTACAATTATAGCATTCTTATCACTTTGACATTCCGACTACTCATATCATCATGATTCAATGCCGTCATTTCATCAGGATCTCGAAACTACCCTCACTACCATTAAGTACCTACTGATATTGGAGCTCAGTTGACTATTTCGGTGACAGGAAATATCTTAACGAACGAACGAACGAAATAACAAATACTATGCAACAGTGATAACTAATCCTAAGTGAAAATTGCAGTCTCCACAATTTACACCAACAAATGACATGTTTCCTTTTATCTCAGCACTATAACAGACCAAAACAACTAACAAAAATAATCACCTTCGAATTTTCTCCCACAGCTGTTTACATTTCAAAGCCAAATCGAAATTGGGTTTGCGTTTTCTTTGCAACTCTTTGATGAAGGCACGTCGCTCTTTACGATTCATTGTCATCAGCTTCTCTTTCACTTTCCTTGTCACCTGATATCTCATTTATTCATAACACTCATCTCAAATGATTACATATTATGAATATCGTTTGAATAACCTCGGAAATATGCACAAAAAAGTTTGAATCTGTCAATTCCCAAAGTACACAATGACTCTCTGGACTAACCTTATGGCCAAACAGTAATTATATATTTTCAGTGATATTGGCACAACATTCGGTTTAGAGTGAAAACATTCCTTCTCGTTCGTGAGGAAAAGTTTTGCTCAAAATCCAGTGGTGTACCAATATCACTGATGTTGCGAGCCTGAGTAAGCAGGCTATGACTTGGCTTTTATCTAATTATCTATATTTCCAATTAATGATTAAGATCTTATGAAGTCAAAATTTAATGAATAGTAACCTCAAAAGTGTAAAAATTATCCACCGAAACAAAAAAGGACACGAAAGACCAACTGAATAATGAAGTTAAAAGATGAAAAGACCAAAAAAAAGTCCTCACCTGTATTTTCGTATGCTTCTTAACTTTCTCCACTCCACCGCCACCGATTATTTTCATCTTTTTATCGTCGGTATGCTTCTTTTTTGCCTTCGGTGAGACTTCCATCTCCATTCCGTTTGTTGATTTTGACTCGTTCATCGTTTGGTCAGCCTCCGGTGATGATTTGGTAGTGCTGTGATCAACGACTTTTTCCTGATCCGGAGGACTGGTCGTGTCCATTGAATTCTCTTTGTCCTCTTTTCCGGACGACGGAGAGCTAGTCAGCTTCGATTTTGCCTTCTTCGTCGCCTTCACTTTTCTGGCCAATATACTTTTACCGGGTGACGCGTTCGTCGTGATATTCTTCTTAATTGATATTACCTCGTCCGAGCACTATCAACATTCAAGTCATCAACACAAAGATTGACAAAAATAAGTCATCAAAAATAAGAAACTGAACAGCGATACGGTTACTTCCACAACTGTCAAACTAAGAGCACAATCAGAATATGACATATTATTACTAAGTGCTGGAAACTTTTGCATACCATTGCTCTATCTTTCACACCCACAGGAAAATGTTGCTATCATCCAAAAATTCTCAAGCACAGTTCATTCGTTAATGGATCAGCAATTCCAACAAATCAATCAAAAAATGGAATCTCTCACCCCAATTAGAAAAAGTTAAAATGAACGAAAAATCTCACGATATCTTTGCTGATTTCTTCCTCATCATTAGTGCTTTCCAATTGTTTTGCAAACGAAACACGTTTCTTTTTCTCCCCGATCGATTCCTCTTGGCAAACAGACGAACCCGAAGAGACTGTTCGGGGCCTCTTCTTCTTGGGTTTATCAGCATCCAAAGGGATCTTCTTGGCATTCTAAAAAAAACCAAAGATATTTTTTGACCTAGTCAAGGTTGACAAAGAAAGTTTGAAACTGCATAAAAAAAGGCCGATTCAATGTGATCTGCGATATTAGATGATCACTTTTCTCAGTGTATTGCCCAAAGCCTTATCATTATAAACCAAAACCTCCATCACGTTTGAATCCAAAAGAGCACTCAAGATCGGATTAAGAAAAGAAACTTTTCATCTCGTATCTTCAAATATTACTCAACTGATGCATTGATCAGTGCAATATGACGATTAAAATATGGAAAATTTCAGTTGAAAAACATGAAAATAATCAAATTTCCCTCACCGCTTTAGTGTTTTTGCGTAGAACTTCATCGTCTGTTTTGTCGACTAAGCTGAGAGTTTTTACTTTTTTCACTTTCTTCTGTTTTTTCTTCAACACTTTTGTTGGTTTTCGTTTCATTTTACCCGATTTGCCGTGAAGACTCACCATTTTAACTGTCTAAAATACAAATTCCCAAATGCTGAATATTTTCTAAACTAATGAAAAATGATACGTTGTTGTGGCGTATGATATGCAACTCAACAGTTCTACTCACACAATCAGAGTGAGAAAATAAAGAAGAAAATAAACATCACAAAAAAACAAAAGGACAAGTTGTCTTTTGCTGATAACGAGCGCTACTGTACGCATGTGCTTAGATTACCACTTTACCCCATATGTATCAATGCAATTCTAAGTCAAATCAGGAGTATGCTTAAGCTTAGACTTACGATTAGCCCAGTGATGAGGCTAACGCATAGGTTTCGACTTATGTGTGAAATGTATGAGCACACGAGCATCTGTGATAACAGGCACGGTAGCACCCGTTATTTTTCTACAATTCATTCCTAATAAAACAAAAAAAAACTATAAGAAAAATGATGATAACCAACGAATGCGTATGGAAACAGTGTTGTGAAAACACTTTTCAGTACTTTTCAGCCATTGCTTAAGATGGATAATAGTCTCAGTACTAAACTTGAGAAATTCCATTGAGGAAATATCAGCCGACGGGTTTAGCAATTTCATCGGCACAATGGAAATAAACGATTTTAGATAAAACCCTCAGAAATTCAAGAATCACCTATAATTTTCTCGTCGCAAATACAAATTAAACGCATCGTGGCAACTTAAGTGCTAGATAGCTAGCGCATGTTGCTAATCGCAACAACATGTGGCGGGTTTCACACGTCTCATTAGAATATAATATTCTGCTTAATCTTTAAGGGATATTCGACCTTCTCGCGAGGGATTATTTGGCACTGAGAATGCCTTTTAGATTCCAATTGATAAACCTTGATAACCTCATTATCTTTCCAGACCACCTAGCATACGATAGTCATGTGATGTTATGAACTGCATGTTGATTTCTCGATTGATTTCATGTATCATCTCTAGCTAATTTATGATGAAGCTTACAAGTAGAATGATCACTACTAATCTCTAAACAACTTCCATATTGCTTTAAAAACTAATGAACTGTGATTCTTGTGCATTATGCTGTTGGTATTCCTTTCTTAGTGTCCTTTTCTCATGCATCTTCACAACAGTCATGATGAAATGTGTCTTCTGCGGGTTGTGTAGAACACCTTACCAACACAGCCAACCAGCAATGAAACTGATCAGTCCACTTACATAGTCGTAAATGTGGGCACACTGAAACGTTATCAGTGTTATTGTTCTCCATTGTTATTGTTTTCGATCAAATGGTTTCGTTCTAATGATCAGTTGATATAGATCAGCTGTTATTCTATTGATCGTTAGCATGTGTCTATTGCGCGTACTGTATGAGTTGTTTCTTAATATGTGGGTGAACCCGACTTCAGGTAATACACGAATCATTTGTATGAGATTATCAAAATGTGCTGAATAGAAAAGAATCAGAGCCAACACTAACACTAAAATAGCGTAAAAGATTTTTCAGTGATGCCCCCAGGCGACTCACTTAATGAGTACGGATCGGCACATTCGAGTGACCTGAGCAGTAACTCGGATTTGGACACGAAAATGGAGGAACAGGACTGGGTAAATTTTGATCTACATGATGATTTTGATCTACTTATAATTGGGTCTTTGGGAGAGCCAAGGAATGGGAAATCAAAAAAAAATTAATTTCATGAGCATACTGTATCAAGTTTGATCAATTTCTGTGATGATCACTACTATGTAGAACAGCAATCCCTCTCATTAACCTTTGGTCACAATATATGAAGACACTGACTTCCGCATCATTCACATATAGGAACCCGAAAAATATTTGGTTGAATTCAAACCAATAAGCTCTATAGGATGTAGAAAGATATGGCTTATCCACTCAAATCCACAAATTGGATCCATTATCCAATCCACAATATCGCATTCTACAAATTCTCAGTGTTTGCAATAGAATTCTCTGTGCAATAGTCATCTCGAAATCGAAGGTGAATATCTTCAATAGTAATGGCTTCAATCGTTGATGACACTTTCCATGCATTCACAAACGTTTAAGGAAACCAAAATTATGGAGGAGGCTCGTTTCTTCAAAGAAATGTGCGATGAGCTAAAGGCAGCAGGCTGTCCGCTGTTCGGTGGTCGCTATTGTGAACGACTTTCGCCAGAAAATCGGTTTGTATTTCAAAGGATTTGGGGTGAATGAGACCATTCAGTGCCATGTGGAACATGGATATGCGATGGAGTGTTAAGCTCTTCTCAGTGAGAAGAAACTTTTCAAAGAAAACATGCTCAGGATATACTCAGGATTACCCCACGTTTCGAGATGAGATATATATCATATTGTAGAGCTCGTGTAGCTGATTACGAATATGCAAAATTTTTTTGCGGAACAGTGATACTGTAAGATATTGATAAGATATTGATATTGTAAGATAGTGTAAGGTAAGTTATTGATATTGATTTGTAAGCAGTGATATTGTAGGTTCATGATGACAACGTAAATAATTCCTTCTTCGATTTGATTGTCATTTTAAGCAGTTTAGCAATGAAGTTTTCTTTTTTTTGGATTTGGAGGATGCTTTTAGAACTATCCATCGATTGTTTGATGTTGCCATATAACGAAAACATGATACCTGACGAATAAGTTGTGTGATCGCTTGTTATAGTTATAGTGCAGTTGGGTTATCTTCCACTGGAAAAAGCTGAATTCATTTTAGTAAATCTCGATTATATTCTGAAAAGTTTTCGTGCAGCATGATTTGAAATATCCAATTGTTGTTATATTATTTGAGAGGATTTCCTGATTTTGGGCATGTCAATTGATCTCATAGTTTATCTCCGACGACTTAGTATGAAATTGTAATTTGATGGCAAACGATGAGCAGTTCATTAGAGTAGCATTTTGCGGTGATTGTATTTGTGAAGAAGTTCGTTTTCGATCGGAACTGACGAAACTGATTGCAGGGAAAAGGCAGCAGTTCTAGAGGATCGTTTGGATGCTCTGCTGGGTTTCGACACCGCCTCGGTGAGCTCGTTCCGGACACGTACTCGAGATGAACTCCGTCTTTTCATCGCACAAGGCGACACCTTGACATCATTCAAAGAGAAGAGTCAGTCAGCTATTTTCATATTGTTCATTCGTTTCCAGTGAATGCACATTATCAATTCATAAAGAAGTAAATTTAATTCGAAATCGTATAATGCATCAAAAGTTTAATGTATCTGGACGAATGAACTTGAATTATTTCACTGCGGATTAGTTCAGTTTCTCTCGTATATTTCCTGAAAAGCATGAAAGTTTTGTGGTCAGAAGTATGTGTTGATTCGATGACCACATAAAACGGTCACTCGATAAGTGAAATGTTCAGTGTTAGAAGTGGACGTTACTTGAACTGAGTAATATGATAATATCTTGAATTGAACATTTGAAATTCAGTGTATTTCAGTGAAGCAGTATGATTTTTCATTGAAATGCAATGCAGTATGGTCATCGGATGCGATTGCTTATCGGTGCAATACGTGTGCTTACAACCCTTGTAAGTGATCAGATTTATTGTTGTTGTAGTTTTTGTTTTCTCGATTGAATTTTTGATTGGGCTTGATAAATGGGCGTGTGCAATTGAGAAAGAATTTTTAATTGGAATGGGCTAACGGTTGGTTTCATTGGACAGGTATGTCGCTGTGCGCTGACTGTTTCCAGAATAGCAACCACCAAGGACATGATTTCAACAGGTTCTTCTCACAAGCTGGCGGAGCATGCGATTGCGGCAACTCGGATGTCTTAAGAGAATCTGGGTGAGTTGAACTGCTTAAAGATATTATACCAACTTTCTGTACATATCATAAAAATATCAGTCAATTTCCTGGACCTATCATGTTGCGCCTGAGTTTTAAAAAATTTGTCGTAAGACCCAATGAGTTAGAGTGAGACTGTTTTGGATAGGGAATGTTTTGATTACGTGAAATTCTATGGAAATATGTCGATTGATTAAATGAATAATTTAATGTCAGTAGCACTCAGTGTTGCTGACAAATGCAATTGGATAGATATGTGGTACAATTGGAGAGGATAAGCTTGATACGAGATATGTGATAAGTGGAGAATTGAATTTATAGATTTTGTGCCCGGCACGGACCGAATGCCGTTCGCCCACCAGCGCCATCGGACAAGATTGTTTCGTTGGCCGAATTTGTGATACCGAAGTTGTTCGTCAGATTGTTTTTGTACTTCCGTGGATGGGTGAGTACCATTTTCTGGTATTTTTCAGCCTTTTATTTTCAGCAGTGAATGTTGATGAGATCGATGTAATGATGAACCACAATGTCTTATTGTCATGTCTTATTAGACTTATAAGACATATAATGTCATAATGTCTTATAAGACATATAATGACGTAATGTCTAAGACGTATAAGACATATAATGAGAATAAGACATATAATGTCTTATTTCCAACGGTGTTGATCATTTGTTCAAGGAATCATCAGTTTATTTCTTAGAATCGACGGTATGAAGAGCTGGTCGAGCAGAAGAAGCAACGATCGTCGGATGTGAATAAAGAGACGTTCAGTTGTCATTTGATTGCACAAGCGCACATTCTCATCGAATTCTTACAGGTTTGTCTCGATTTCATTTTGATCGCTTTCAAGTCTGTTCTGAATTTAAAGCTACTGATAGTTCTATCATTGGTCTCCCGGTTAGAAAGGCGGCAGTGGTGTTGGAAAGGTGCAATTGAACTTTTGGCTTATGTTTATCAGAATAGGAGAGAAATTTTTGGTGGAGGATTTCTGCTTGAAGAAGTATTTATCGTAAGATTAATTTAAAGGAAATAGTGGATTGCGGTGGGCCGATCCGAGATGCAGTGGCGGACATTTTGCTCAACAAACAACTCTATGCGGAACTGAATAAGCGAATGGCAAAAGATGATCTCGAAGGTTTGCACGCTTCATTTCTTATTGTCACCTTATAGAAATACCCATTTTCAGTCGTATTATTATCACCGTTGCTGTTATCAAATAAGATTATTAATTGATGTTGACAAATCTTTCAGTTGAGCATCATTTTCATTGTGATGAAACTAGCACAGTATCTGAATGTAGACGTCTGAGAGAATAGATATTTCTGGTTTGAGATTGTAACGAATTACCACGATGAGTTGTATTTTCAAGAGAAGTCAAAGCGTGTTGATGTGTCGTTGGATTGGCGTACGAGAAGCCTTTTGGAAGAGGATTTGAAATCGCTGAAGACAGTCGAAGGAGCACCCGAACGGAACTATTCGTTTGAGTGTTTGCTGGATGAATTGGTGTTTTGGATGATACGTTTGATATTTCCACAATCGATCATAAATCTTTGTTTGAGTATGTTATCACACGCGCAATATCGGGTGAGCGTTACTCTTTGCATCATTTGATTAATTTCTGATTTCGTAGTGTAAGTGATAAAATGTGAAATAGATCGTGCTATCCAAAAATGAACAATTAAAGCATTTTCTTATAATCGTGTTGATCGCGGATATGCAGTTTTTTCGGATGATTATTGGTTGAGTTGAAGATTTAGTCATTTGGTGATGGAATGAACGATGAAATATAACGCTCGCTGTTAAGTTTTGGTATTTATTAGGTGATAATTTCAAACGCAATTTGAGCGTATGTTCGGAATGAATCAATATAGTGATACGCAATAATTAATTTCGTATTGCTTTTAAGGATTGGTTCGCTCGTCAGTTTTTCTCACTGTACGGTTGTATTGCTGAAATAATGGTTGATCTAGCAAAATCTGAGGGTAACGCCACAATTTATGCAGTTTCGAGTCGTGTGATACATATTTCTGTTCAGGTGCGATATTCTCTCAACTAAATCTGATTGGATGTTTATTTAATGTCGATGATGAATTTATCGTCGAACCTTACAAATTTAAACTTTTTAAAGATTCTCTCAAGTGAAGCAATGTGCAACAAATTGGATGATGAGATATCGTTGAAGTATTTGCTGATATCAAGTACTCGTGGTCTGCTGAGTGCTGGTCTGCAGAGATCGTACCTGACTCAAGGTAAGTGTCCACTCTCTTCGGTGAAATTCGCTTGTTGAACGTTAACAAATTATTTGGAAAGCAACTCTAGTTTTGATCGATTTACCTTTGATTGTTATTTGAACGTGTGGAAATGTTTATTTGGAATCGAGGAGATTTATCACTGATATTTTTAATGTCTTATTAATGTCTTGATGAGAGCATTTTTAATGTGTTGTTGAGTGAGATAGATGTTGAATGCTGAATGTCTCAAAATTATTTCATATTCGACGTATGGAAAAATATTGTTTGCAATTTTAAATGCTCCCTCTGATTTTGATTACGACATTTAATTGTTGAGTTTTACATTTACCGTCCTTACAAATTTGATATCGCCTTCAATATTCTGACGTTTTCAGCACGAGAATATTTCTACGAAAGCACGGCGCCAAGTGCAGACAGTACAGCATCCACTTTCGAGCCGTTCACGTGGATCGTCTTCTCAGTGGATTTGAATCAACCTCTGCGAAAACATTCGTATTGGACGTTGGTGAGCGATATGCAGAATCTGTTGGGACATCCGAGCATCGCAAGGAAGTTCTTCAGAGATTCGGCTTCGTTCAGTTGTTACGCGAAGATGATAGCGCTGATGCAAGGTTGGTGTTGTTCACTTTTTGTCTGTTATTCATCAAAATATATGTGCTTTATGCTGGGATATTTCTTAAACGTCGATACTTCAATGACACAATATGCAATAGAGCTACAGCCAATTGCGTTTACTTCGTTTCATCTGATATTTTTCTAGTTTCTATAAGATCTTGATCGATTTCGCCGTCTGCTTCGAAAATTGTTTCATCTCGGATTGAAATTTACTTTTTCGCCATAAACTTTTTGAGAATTTCTATTGCACTTGAGACATTGAACTTGAAAAATTGCTACAATGCAATGATTCAATTGATTTGAGTGTTTAGTCAACGATACGTTGGAATTATTCTGATATTCACGTCGTTTGGATTATGTTTTATCTGCATTTATATTAGCTCTTGATATCTTAATGAGTTTTTCGTGTTTTTGTGGATTGATTTTTGTGGGAACATCGAGTGGAATCAACTCATTCGGAGTTTTGTTACTTGTATGTGAATGAATTTCATAATGTGCCTTTGAGTTCAACAATAATAGCTAGTTCATTTGTTGTATGTCATTATTGCGGGGTGATTAGAAAAGAGAGGTTAATTTGCAGGAATGAATGTGAACTTTCGAGTGGTTTGTGGCGATCACGTTGAGTATGACACTGCGCAGCCGTACCAGGTTAGACCTTATTCGGTCGAATTTGCTATTAAGTTTTGTACTGCTCTCATTATTGTTCGTTCATTTCAAAAGTGAATTTCAGCTATCATTTCATCTGGAATGGGAAGTGGCTGCGGTGAATATGTTCAATACACTGAATGCGCTCACTGATGAAATCGACTGCATGAATTTGTATTTGTTGAAGTGGAAATCTTTAATGCAGGTTCCTTCTTTTTCACGTTTGTTTTGGATGGATTATGTTTCATAGTTAAATAAACTTAAATCCTTTCGTTAGAGAAGTTGATCCGTGATGAGAATATTAGGGTTATGATGTGATGAGAATAATAAGGGAGTAATAGGAATTATAATGATAATTGAGTGTAAAGATATTCTGAATTGCGGTGCGATGAATGGATTGGAAAGAGATGTTCGTATTGTAGAGCTGGTTAGAAGCGTTGCAAATGACGAATATGGATGTGTGCGCGCAGCCGTATTGTGTATCATATCACATTCCACTGCATCGTCATATTGCTGCGGGTGTGATGCATTCCGTTGAGCATTTGCTACTTCGGGAGCCTGTTCAAGGACTACTGGCTGAGGATGAGCAATTTTTAAGAAGAATTGCACTGCATCCACTTAGAATCCAGGTTTAGTCGGCTCATATCTTTGAGTTTCATTTCATGTTAAGAAAGTCGATTTTTGGAAGTCAGTCGTTCGCTTTTGAAAATTTGTTTGATCGGTTTGAAATTTGAAGGCGATTGAAGATTGGATGGTGGAATCGTAATGAAGAGATTGGTTTGGGTTTGGGTGGATGAGTGAATTGAAGCTTCAAGATTTTTAGTTAGGGAATTTTAGTTTTAGTTGATTGAAAAAATCGTTTAAGGTGTGTCGTGCAGAGACATCAGCTGGTATGTGGGCAAGGAACGGAAACGCGGCACGTAATCAGTCATTTTATTACGCACAAACGAATTATAATACGGCACTGTTGGACTGTGATATTGCATTGCTCAGGTGATTATCATTCATTTGTGGTAATAAGAAAAGTAATGATAATGGGTTCCTTCTCGGTTTGATTTGATAAATATATAAATGAGCGAATGAATTTCAGATTTATCGCGTCAAACGTTCATCCGGAGTGGTTTCTGAACGCTTTATCGGCATCATTCTATCTGGATGAATGCTTCTCGTATAGTCCGAATGTGAAATATACGAACGCATCGATAGCAGATGTGAAACCGATTGTGATAACACGAAAAGAATGGGTTGATTCGTTGATCGATGGAGCACTCAGGTTTGTGGGTTGTTTATTTAGATGCGAGAATGGTTATGGAAATATTATCTGTTCAATTATGTGTTCGTTGCATGCTGTCTGTAACAGTATTTCAGCAAACTGGCCGGTTAGATTCGGTTTTTAATTTGAATTGTATGAAGTCTCGTCGTCCTTTATGTAGCTGTTTACAAATGTGGAACTTTTTTATGATATTAGAGGGTTAATTGAATGACGCAGTCACGCCGTATTTTTCATTTCTATTATTGTTTTTATTATTTTATTGTCAAGATTATTATTATTGGTATTGGTTCTCATGTTGATGCAACGTAATGCTTGCAGATTACTTCTGGAATTGATCGTAATTGCGTGGAATACGAATGGTGTCGAGGAGAAAGATGTGGAACGAGAAATCGTGGCGGCGTTGGCGATTGGCGATTTGACGCATTCTAAACTGAAATCGGCAATTCCCGAGAAAGGAAGTCGTGCGATGATGAGTGATAAGGCGTTCGACTCTCTTCTTCAGAAGGTTCGTATCGCGAGATTTGAAATAATGAGATGAAAGGGGCGTTTTCTTTTGTTCAATGTTACCTGAATTGGCTAGGCTTAAGATGGGATGAAACATTCGTTAGAATGTTGGATCTGCGTCAGAAATGGAAAAAGTCTGAGCAACGTGGAATAACATGGGAATCAGTTGGTCTGCGCCCACATAGAGAGCGAAGACAGGTCGCTAGGTAATCAGTCGCAAGGTAAAGTAAATGTTTCATTGATTTTGTTTTGTTGCAGTTAGCGGTCTACAATGAGCCAGACCAAGGAAGTCACATTCAACAGGGTGTTTTCCGACTTTCCGAGCAGTCCTGGTACGAGCGCTTTGATCCTGTGTTCTGTCGTATGCGTGCCACAACAGCGCGAGAATTCAACGACGCGTTGTTGCGTTCAGAAAACATGTGAGAATATTTGCTCTGTTATTCTCAGCGATTGAATAGACTGAATAGTAGAATTTGTAAAATCAACTTTTCTGTTTCGAATTCCGAATTCCTAAAACTTTGTAGTTCGTTGCTAAAAGATTCAGGAACAATCTGTAGCAGTCTGTAGTTTTCATTTCGATCAAGCCTGCTTCATTTTTCTTTCATGGAATGAAGATTTCGGTCTCTTGTTATTTGTTACATAATTCATATTTTATCATTATTAACATGGAAGATGTTTTTATGATGGTATTATTTTCATCGGACATATTTGATTTTTGTAGAGAGCGAACTCGTTTGAATCGATCTTCACCGGGAAGTGGTCAGAAGATGTACGGTTGCGGAATGGGAGGACATTTCTGGATACCGTATCGGTTGATCAGTTTCGATGGGTATGCAGATACGATACTTCATCTGCGCAATGTCTTCAAGTTGCTCGTCTCGCCAACATTTTTCGAGATACTCTTCGAGGTGTTAGCAATGGTCAGTTCTCTTTATATAAATAATCTCTTTATAGTAATATTACTGATGGAGTTTTCAACTTGTAATATTAATTGTAATATTAGTTAATGATTGTTTAAACGATGATGCTGTTAAAAAGAATAATAAGAATAATGATGAGTGGTTCTGATTGATCATCAGAAAGCAGTATGAAGCGGAGTTTATTCTTAATTGATCAGTGGAATTGGACAGTCATTTTCTTTACTCTGTTCAACATTATTTTCAATATCTCAGCATCGTCGCCATTCTTGTCATTAATATTTCAATGTCGATTTAAACTCTTTACATCCATTTAAAACTTATCGCCACGTAACTCATCGATTTCTGTGGGTTGATAGTTTCCATCGTTTGTGAGTCTTATAAAAAGAATAAAATTATTTCAGCACATTGACGAAGGCCAAATAAGTGATTCAATCGTGCAGCAAGTTGTCTATTTGTTGACTCTGAGCGTATCCTACATCACATCACCACAATTCAAAAGCGCATCCGATGATGAGCAGTGTTTCTGGACCAGGAATGAGACGTTGACAACGAGAATGGCCATAACGCGATCGGCATATCATCGAGTCGATCACAACATTTCTGCAGCATCATTGGATAAGCAACGCACACATGCACTTTCGTTGTTCACGTTGAATGTGAACGAAGGAGACGCAAATAAGTTGGTCACTTGTTTTTGAGGGTGTTTCTGAGTTAGTATTGTTTGTGCCACCAAGTGAATCTGGCCAGGTGATTCATTCAGAATGGTTTTGTTGAGGGCAGTTTTGGGTGAATTCCGGGTCCGTATGAGGAAGGTCTGTGGAGAAAAATTTAGTGAATGGACTGTTCATGAGAAGAGAATTGAAATCAGAGAAGAAGAAGAAGATTTAACAAAGTGTCTGATCGATATGAACAAACATTTTTTCTGTGACCGGACAATCTGCCTAAAGACGTTCTGAATGAGGACAATTTGCCTAAAAACACATTGCCTAACGGATAGTTTTTTAATGGATATTTTGCCTAATAGGCAAACTTTCCTTACAATTAGGCAAAAAGTCTTTAGGCAGATTGTTTAGGCAAACGTCCGGGCACCATTTTTTCATATGCTTCATTTCAAACAGTCTTCTGCCAAATTTGTTTACTCTCAATTTTAAATGCTTAATAGTGTTTGTTTTGAGTAGAAGTGAAGTTCACATGGGATCGATAAGAACTTGAAAGAGAGTAAAAAAATGAGCAAAAAAATGAAATTTGATGTTTTTAGAGAGCCGCGTTCGTTG